TTATATCGGCATACTTTAACATAAGGAACACCCTCCCGAAGTTTGGTCCATTCCTCCTGGGACACCCTGTATATATTTATAATTGTATTGTACTATATTAACTATGTGACTGGTTCTATATCTATGTATATGGATTTATGGAATATACAATAAATGAATGAATGAATGAATGTTATAGGAATGCCTACTGCCCTGTTCTGTATTTTTTCTTACAGGAATGAGATCGAGGATACCAGGGTATTTTGTGCCAGGATAGGATTGGGTCTTGAGGTGTACAATGGTGTCATGTGTTAAACGATTATATCAATTCTATTATTAGAATCATTTTATTATAATCTTAGTATATTATTATATCATTATTTTATTTATTACCTTATTATTATTTTTTTATTATTACTGTTATTTATTGTATTGTAAATAATCTGACTTGTCCTATATCATGTACAAGTATAATGATCCATGAATATGAAGTAAATAAATAAATAAAAAGTAAGGATGCAGCCATGATTGTATGTTTCACATGAAACTAAATTATGATCTTTTTTCCCTTTTCCTATCTCAATGCTGAAACCCTTCTTTCTAGCAATACATGTGTGAGTTAGGGAGACCAACTGCACCTCAAGGGTTTAGGAACAGGCAATTATGAATAATTATGCATGACATACACACAAAAATATACATATTGTAACGTGTTTTGGTTACTGAATACGCCGTAGAGATCGTTAATTGGTTTATTGAACAATCTACAAGAACGGCTACAATTACTTATCACATAGTTGCGGGGTTTCACACTTTATAACCCTAATCGCATTAATCTGTTACCACTGTTGAGGGGTTTCACGATTTATAACCCTATGTGCAAATCAGCTCAGTCTGTCTTCAGTAGTCCACACGTTGACAGTAGGGGAGCTAGGTATCGCTGTATCACACACTCCCAATTACACAATTACACACACGTCTGGTTCTTCTTTCCGCGACGGCTGCTATACTCCAACTGTTGTCGGCTGACTGGAGAACTGTTGATAACACACTCGCTCGTAGGCTTGTTCAGAACTATCTTCGGCGATGACCACGTTACAACTCGGCGGCTGTCACAGTACAACTCGTCCGTAGCTGCTATGCAGTTCCCTTATATAGCCGCAGTGGTGCCTGTTGCGTGACACGTCACAGGAGTTTTTGGCTGCTGCCTGGCAACCGCGATATCCCTTGGTGACGTCACCGCTGTTGACTCGTGTTGCATAGTTACCAGGTTGCGGGAGCTCGGCTAACTCCGCCTCCGCTCAGCTCACTTCGGCTCCACTCGTGACGTCACCGTTCGGGGAGAGTGGCGGGGTGATGACTCGCCTATTACGCGAACGCTACGTTACCGCTATGTGCCGCTGGGGAGGTAGGGGTCAACATGTCACAATATATATAAAATAGTGCTTCCTTTTTTTCTAAAAGGAACTCTCATGCTTGGTTTTAGCATCAAGGTTGAAACATACCATGCACTGACAAATGTGTCACTTTTGATAAGTTTGCTGGCACACATAAATTGTCTGTTGATACGTACAGAGTGAAAAAAGCAAACTGTGCATGTACACAAAATACATATTAGACACTTGCCTAGGATATTACGTGGTTAGGGTCTGGAATTTGAATTTAAGTTCAATTACAAAAACTGCAGGTATTTACAGCATCATTCAATTTGAAACCAGTCTCAGGATCACTGTTGGCATGCATTACCCACTACCATAAACATAATTACATAATGAACTACAGAAACATAATCCTCACTTATATATGGATGTCCAGCCACCATCCTCAATATGTGTACTTCCTCTATTGTGGCTTCAAGCATTGTCTTTCCTCCTACTCCAGCGTCATTACTGTCATTACTCAGATCTATAATCTTGGCTGCATACTCGATTCCCGTTTCCTTCTCAATACAGCGCCGTACTGTTGAACTTATCCCCCTAAGACAACATACCATTACATAAAAATTCGTGTTAATTACAACGATGTAATTTTCACGTCACTCAGAAGTTACTTACCTTCCTAGTATTTCCTTTGGTTCATATTTGGCATAAAATCCCTTTGCTGCATCTTTATCAGGCAGAAGGTCGTCCATTTCATCTTTTGCCATCGTTAGACTTAAAAGATTCTAACTGGGAAACCAATTACCATTAAATGTCAGCTGAACTTGAACTAAAAATGGATTGATTAAACAAAGGTTCAAGGATTACTTAAATTATAAACAAAACACAAAAGTGTGACTCACTATAAAGCGCGACTGAGTCACCGTAAATTAAATTTAAATAGGTATACCTAAACACTTATCTCTTTCGCTCCTTACCAAACGTAAATAAACAACCAATATACATAAAAACAAAATACCCATCACAATTCCGCCATTTTTAGAGCCTCCACAGATCATTCTAATTATAATCAGCGATCATCTTAATCATGGATCAACTAAAACATGACCTGCGAGAATAATATAATAAGGGAATGCACACAATGTGCATAGAGTAATTGTTTTTTTTTTATTCGCGACTGTATTCGGTTATTGATGTGGTTAAGTTTTTGCATATGGTAATGTGTTATCTACTGCACTTTTTATCACAGTGTTTACACACACACGCGTCATTTGTTTCATGGAAACGTTCGTTCTTGCATATCTTGTGGTGGAATCCGTGTGTTGCCAACCTAGTAATTGTGTGTCGTAATTTTCTGTTGGGTCCTGTCCAGGTTTTGTCAGTCATTGCACCAGTGCTGTAGAACTCTTCCCACATTTCCTCTCTTTCTTGTTTTCTTTCTTTGATAACTTCCTCTGCGTTTTTTGTGCTTGGCAGTTGAAATCTGAGTTCTTCTAATAGGAAATTTTCCTTGCAGAGTTCCTGTGTTAGTCTGGATTGTGTGTTCTTAGGAAGCCCTAGCGCTAGTTTAACGTATCTTGCCTTCACCTGTTCTATTTTCCGCAGGTTTTGTTTGGATAGTTTTTCCCAGGTTACCTCTATGCCATATAGTAGTATGGGACAAATTTTTGCATGGAATATTTTCATTGCTGTTTCTAGCGATAATAGTTGCAGGTTTCGGATGGTGTATATAGCTTTGATGGCTGCTGTGCATTTTTCTGTTATGTGTGCTGTGAATGTTGTAGATGTAGACTGCAGTGTTAAGCCGAGGTATTTATATTGTTTTACTGATTTTATGTGTTCTCCATTAAATTTTATTTCATCATTTTTTCCTTTTCTTCCTCCTTTTCTGAAAGTCATTAGTTGGGTTTTGTTTTTATTTATTTGAAGTTTGTTTTGTCTTGCCCAGTTCTCCAGTGTAGTGGAGGCTTCCTGTAGCTCCTCAATATTTTTTCCTCCAATTGTCATATCATCGGCGTACATAATTAATTGTACCCCTGTGTGTTTTTCCATTGTTTTGGCCAAGTCTGCTGTTGTAATATTGAATAGCAATGGGCTAGGGGGTCCCCTTGCAGTACGCCATTTGTTTGGGTTATTTCTTCGGATTCTGACACCGTGTCTTTTATTATGATTTTATTGTTTTTGAGGATGTCTCCTATTAGTCTTGTTGTTGTGTTCTCTTCTCCAACTATTTCCCTCAGTTTTGTTGTGATTATACTCCTGTCGAGTAGGTCGAATGCCTTGCTATAATCAATGAAAACTACATGGTATTTTCCTCGTGGGTGTCATAATGCTGCTTCAGTTGCTTCTAGTAGTGCTGTGATGGCTTGTATCGTTGATCTTTGTGGCCGAAACCCAAATTGATTTTCCGGGATAAGTGAGTCTACTGTTGTTGTTAAACGGTCAGTTAGGATTTTGGTCAGTATCTTGAACATTGTGTTTTCTAACGCTACCCCTCGGTAGTTGTTCGGGTCTTCTGGGTCTCCTTTTCCCTTGTACAGTACTTTCATCAGGGATTTTCTCCAAATTTGTGGTATGGATCCAGTTTCGAGGCATCTGTTGTATAGTCCCGTTAGTGGTGTTGATATAATGTCCTTTGCTTCTTTTATATGTTCATAATATATTCCATCTGGTCCTGCGGCTTTCTCGTTTTTTGTTCTTTTTATAGCTTTTAATACTTCTGCATGTGAGATTGGTTGACATGCCCTGACGTCGTCCGTTTGGGGGCCGCTGGTGGATGTATTTTGGCTAAGTATCTTGGTGAAATGCTGTTCCCATATCTTTATATTTACTTCTTGTGGCGTTTGTTTCTTCGTTGTTTTGGTTGCCACGAACGGGTCTTTCTCGGCTTCTTCGGCTATCATTTTCCCTTCATTTTCCATGTGTTCCGTTTTCTTACTTTTTATCAGTGCTTTGTATCTTTTTCTTTTTTCTGCATATTCTTTTAGTTCGTTGCTATTCTGAGTTTGCCTTGCTCTGTGTAGTGCCTTTATTGTTGCTTTTCTCATATTGTAACATTCTGTATCGAACCATATTTTGACCTTACTCTCTTTGGCAGTTGGGGCAGCATTCTGCAGTATTTCAGTCATCTTCCGTGCCGCATCGTCGATTTCGTTTTGTTCTATTATTTGCATGCTGTCCTCTTGCTTTCCCAATATGTATTTTTGGATTCTTCTAGTTTTTTCAGGGTGCTTGTTTCTGTTTTCGTTTGCTGTTCTTTGCCCCCAAATTTGAATCTTGTGCTTATCGGTAGGTGTTTCCTTAGTGGTGAAGTTGATAATGTTTTTATTGTTTGTTGTTCTATTTCTATCTCGTTTCCTTTCTTGAACACGAGGTCAATACAGCTGCATCCATTCGGCGCTATATATGTCATCACATCTGTTCTATTTGCTAGACAGAATCCTTCTTTCTGCAGTAGTTTCGTGACCTCTTGGGTTTTTTGTTGGGTTTATCAATTCTACAGTGTATATCCCCTGCGAGTATGGCTGTTTTTTTGTGGTCTAATCTACTGATTGCACTTGCTATCTTCTCTGTTGCATCTTGTATGTTGGTTTGGGGTGGAATGTATAGACCTATTATTTCTAGGTATGTCGTTGTTATGTGTACCATGTTGTCTTCTTTATACTCCGCTATTTTTTCCCCAATTTTGTTGTTATAAATACATGAGACTCCTCCGCTAGGTCTTCCTTCTTGTTTTTGGACTGCATAACTGTGCGTTGTGTAATATCTTGGTATTGCTGTGTATTCTGTTAGAAAGGTTTCGGTTAATACTATAATGTCATGATTTTGTGTTATTGTATCCGGGGCGTTTTGCATTATTGACTTTAATCCTTCCGCATTCCACAGGAGTAGATCCTGTGTTCTTTTTCTGTTGGTCGTTTCTTGATTATTGCAGTTTTTAAGCGTTGAGGTCGGTGTCTTGGAATGGTCGTGAGCGAAATCGGAAGCATTCGACTCGCACTCCTTTGGGCCAGAATTCTGGCGCTTCTACTTCGGATAGTCGATTGAAGTGGAGCCCCAGTCGGAACGCTTTGCTTCTTCCTCTAGTTTGTATTTCTTCGCATTTGACTCCGTCTGTTATCCCGTTCTTTCTGATATAATTCTTGATTTTGTCTATGTTTGTGTTTTCTCTGAGCCTGCCTACAAAGAGCCAGGCCATTTTTACTGCAGCTTGAAGTTCTTCTTCATCTTCTTTTGTCCCATATAGTGTTGCTTCCCTCCTGTGAGGTGGGGGTGCGTTTCTTTTTCTTCTTGTTTCCATTATGACGCTGTCTCTGTATGATTTTTTTGGTGGGTTTTCATCTTGTGTTTCTTCCCCTTCGTTGCGGTTGTGGTTGCTCTGCGGCTTTGCTGGGTGATTTGTGGCTCCGGTATTTTCGTCCTTGGTTCCGGGTTTTTGAGCTTTTCCAGTTCAGCGGGTAGGGTGTTTACTATCTCTTCTCGGATTTTTTTCTGAAGGTCGTTCTCCATGAAGTTAAGCATTTCTTGTACTTTCTCTGCCAGTTCTTCTTCAGTGTTTTGCTTTCGCGTAATTTGCATTTTGCATTTGCTGGACAGCCATGTTAGCTTGCAGTTTTTTTTCTTTTCACCGTCTCGAATTCGCCTTTGGTTAGTCCACTGCATTCCCAGTGCTGCCATCTGCCACAGCATTCGCACGCTATGGCGTTGTCGTTGTCTTTAACTTCCTTCCGACAGATGTTACATGTTTCTGCTTCTGGATTTTCTGGTGTAGGTATCATTTTGGTGTATAGTGTGCGCCCCCTGTGGTTGATGTTTGTTCTATACGTCACTTCCGTTTTCTCTCAAATCGGCTTTCTTCTACTTAACCACGTGCTGTATCTTTGCTGGCACTTTTTCTGTGATGGCGTCTGACCCACTATTATGAACACTTCCCCGGGGTTTTCTCTCTTCTGATTACGCTGATGCAGCTCTCCTTTTCAATAATTTCCACTTATTTGGCTGTTTTGATAGATAATACGGCTGTCACTACACTACAATCCAACTGCCATACAACCGGATACAGAATCTTATTTCTTGATAAGAAAACACGATACAAGTAACCATTTAAAATACCATCGGAAACCGCTCAGCAGATTCATCTTAACAACACTTGATTGGCTGTTACCTTACAGTTTGGAGTAATATTCTCCCTTCTTTATTTTGTCCCTTATAACAATACCTATTTTTATGCATTTCTCCTTTGGTCATCTCTAAAATTAAAGCAGAGATTTCCGGCTGGTGTAGTGGTCAATAGTTTGGACTAACATTGCCTCATTTCTAAACCCAGTAGCATCACTTAAGTGCTCAGCACTGTTCCCAACGTATAAGAGTTACGTGTCTTTGTAACTCTTTTAATGAACTGCATGTTCTTGATCATCTTATGATTCAGTTACAAAATATAGACACTAGTTTACTGTAATGAAAGTTGGTGTGAACATCGTGTGACGGTGTCTTGTAATGACATTATGGGAACAGTAGTGAATGCAACATTTTGAAATTTTATAGGGCTCTGTGACGCCTCAGGCAGTTAGCTGCAGACTTCTCACCATGGCACCATGGGTTTGATCCCATGTCAGGTCATGTGGGATTTGCAGTGGAGTAACTGACACTGGGATGGGTTTCCCCTGCCAGTGGAAACCAACCAAGAAAATATGGCCAAGTTAGATGCCAGTCATGAAAGGATGACGGCCGGGATGGCTCCTCAGCTAGAGAAAATGGACACTATGGTTTTGGAGGCCAATTGAGAAATGGTGGAGGCTGTAGCAGAGCTGTAGAAGTCCATAAAGAAGGGGTCGCAGTGAAAAGTATTGGAGCACGGGAAAAAACAACACAGCAAACATGCAAAATCCATACAAATATTATGTTTCTCGACATTATCAGTCGTTCTGTTTTTATTTAAAACACCTCATTTCAGGGGGGGGGGGAGCACCCAAAAGTAGGTGATATGTTAGCATGCCATCTTACCATTTGTGCTCTTGGCTCTGGCGGCAATTTTATAGTTAGTGGCGAACGCGCAGAGATGGGAGGAGCATGGTACCATGGTGGTCACATTGCCCACCATTAAGAGAGTTTCACGGGACTGCTACAGATCCTACAGAGCGTAAAGAGATCGTGGGCGGTAATACAGCAAATCAATGATAACAATCAGGAGGAGTGTTCGTAATTGAGGACAATTTGAAATGTAACAAAATGTCCAATTATACGATGGGGTACCCAAAAGAAACAGAACTAATTTTTTTGTGGGCAGAGCTTTTGTAGTACCGCGTTTTGCCGCTATGAGCGCATAGAGCTAACATTCCTGAGTCGATAAGCCGACTACCGTTGCTTCAGAAGGTAAGGACTAGTTTCGGCAGAGTTTATAGTGACAACTGTTTTGTGTGATCGTCGTTTTTGCAATGGCTGATTTTCGTGAACAGCGTGCGGCGGTGAAATTCTGCTTTTTGCTCGGGAAAAGTGGAATAGAAACTCTTGAAATGTTAAAAACGGCGTACAAGGACGATGCTATGGGGAAAACTCACGTGTTTGAGTGGTTTTCCCGCATAAAAAATGGTGAAATGTCAATTTGATGACAAACCTCGTTCTGGTCGTCCTTCCACGGCCCGAACACATGAAAATGTTGAAAAAATTCGTGAAATCATCAAGGAAGATCGACGACGGACCATTGAAGAAATTGTGGAGCTGTCGGGAGTGAGGTATGACCCCTGTTCCACACCCTCCATACTCACCCGACCTTGCCCCGTGCGGCTTCTTTTTTGTTTCCTCGAATGAAAAGAGACATGAAAGGAAAAAATGACGGAGGCGCTGTCAAGCATTTCAAAAGATGAATTTAGACAATGTTTTGAAAAATGGAATAAAAGACTAGACAAGTGGATTAGTGTAAGTGGAGGGTACTTTGAAGGGGACTGAAGGTTTGTGCTTAAAATTTGAATAAATAAGTTAAAAAAAAAATAAGTTCGGTTTCTTTTGGGTACCCCCGCATGTTGTCAAGGACAAGAGTGGCACAAAAAAGTAAATAAAAAGATACCTATACTGTCTCTTATAAATATTGGTGTACAAGTATGTTATACTCCTTAAAATGCGACTCCTGTAGTGATCTTCAATGATCGATGGTTGTTCCTAACCTCAATATTTAATGGAATGTGAGGGTTTTCCTTGTTTGTAAGGGTGTATGGAATGAAGAACATAGATGCATTTAAACTAATAGTCCATGGGAATAAGAATGCATATGTGACAGGTTTGATATCATTCAACTACAAACTTAATTTGCATTACACAAGGCTGTGATAATGATGGAATTTGGTTTTGTAATATTCATAACATGACAGCTAGTGAATAATATTACAAACGAATATTCAGGAATAAATTGTTTTATTGATGAAATAATTTTGTACATGGATCACAGTATAAGTAATATATTCCTTAACATCTTCCAACCCAGGTAGAAATCTGGTTATTACATGCAATTTTTAATTGTTTTGCTCCTGTAATATCACAGTATTCTCTTGATGCTTAATTCAGAACTTCGTTTCCCAGTATTGGGCAGTACATAGTATGGATATCACTAACTGTTTGAAACTGATATATACACAGCTCAGTATGTTCTGAAGAAGTGGTAAAGAATATGTTATACTGACATGGATGAATATATTGGGCAAGTATGTGTCTGTAAACAACCTGCTCAGAATGGATAATTTTCAGTCCAGTGTGATATATAAGTTTACAACACTTCAGTCTTTTTTCACCTTACATGTTTCGATTCAAAAGAATCATCCTCAGAGGCGCACCACTACCATCAGGAAACACTGTCACATAAGATGTTTTAACCATATGTACTTATGCTATGAATAATGCTCACTATATAAATTTTGTTATTTACGCGATTGGTTTTGGTGTGTGTCCCAGGCATTCACGACGGCGCTTCTTGAAGAGTAGACTTGCATATGATGTTTCTTTTAGGCGTAATGCTTGGTATTCTGACTAGGATTTTCCACTGCATGCAATATGATATTCACTTTTCATACATTAGCCTCCCAATGTATTTAAAATTGTATTAAAATGTTCTTTTGCATGTAAAAAATTAGTTACGTTAAAATATCATGAACCGATATTGGGTCATGTTGTTTTCCTCCTGATGATGGGAGATGTCATTTATTTCTCTTGATTTTATGTCCTTATTATTAGACGTGTAGTTTACGTGCATGCTGTGTCATTTGTACTGAAAATTATCCATTCTGTAATTAGTAGTGTGACGGACCAAAATGAGACAAATCAAACCTGCTCAGAATACTTCAATGTTTAATATCACTAAAATGAATAGCCAAATTTTTCTTCCGTAGAAGCAGAATGTGGGCACTACTAAAATGCTGATAGATTTACAGATTTATTCATGTATGTCTGCATTGCTTGAGATAGTTTCCTTGTATCTTCTTAGTCTGAGCTAACATTACTACATGAATCTGTCAGCACAGATGACTGTAGTTATATAAGCCATAAATACTCATACATAAATATGTGCAGTAAATATATTTATGTATTTTTAAATTTGTTTAGCTCGTAAGGATGGATTTATAAAAAAACATTAGATACTTAATAAAAGGAATGCAAATTTATACCCACTCCCCCTCTTTTAATTGTTTCTTGCATCCTGTTGTGTATTTAATCAATATTAGAGTTAATTTTACCGTCTACACAACACGTTTTTATTATTATTATCACACTACATGTTTCGACCTCAAGAGGTCATCCTCAGGTGTACGAACACAGTTTTACAATCACACGCAATCACATTCGTTTTTTTCCACTCATTCGACACTGTATCCTATCCAGGTCCACGCTCAATAATATATTAGGTTCCGCCTACTAAAATACAAGTTAAAATACCATTACAAATGTTAAAAGTTAAGATTTAAAACTTAAAATTTCGTGAATTGAAGTTTCATTCAGGTCATTGGTATACTTTCACTTTCACTCGCTTTTCAGTCTCTTCCTACTTACACTCATCACTGTGTACAGTTCACTTTAACTAGTTTTTCTATTATCACTGGTTAAAAGTTCATGCATTAAAGTTCAACTTTATTATATTGGTGCAATTTCACTTTTTGGAGGTCTCGCTGTTCTTCTGTGTCCTCTAATGCTGCTGGATCTGTTTACAATCCTTGTCGTTATCGGTCGTGATGGGGGAGTAGCCATCACGACTGATAACGACAAGGATTGTAAACAGATCCAGCAGCATTAGAGGACACAGAAGAACAGCGAGACCTCCAACTGTGTTCGTACACCTGAGGATGACCTCTTGAGGTCAAAACATGTAGTGTGATAATAATAATAAAAACGTGTTGTGTAGACGGTAAAATTAACTCTAATATTGATCTAAAGAGAATTCTAGGAATATACTGGTATGATATTTAAGTCACCACATGATAGTCTTCTGGCATGTTATTAAAAGAGGACCCTTTCACAGGCAGGCTATAAAATGAATCAGGTGACTACATTTATGTGGATTACTTTTATGATACACAAATTAATATAGAAATGTTCTGGGATTTTATTTCCTGACACACTATAACCTCCATGAGTTATACACATAGAGGTAAAGTTGTCCCTGAGCTTAACTAAGCACTATGCCATGAAGGTGTATGGGGGAGTGGATGTATATATCCACACTGAGTTATACAGAACTAAATGAGATTTAACAGGGTCATTGTAATAAATAATGATGTTAAGAGAAAGGAACCACAGCCTACTTAAGGCACTATTTTCCTGGAAGAGATTATGAGAACCTTTAAACCCTAAGTCAGGATAGCTAGTCCATGTCAGGGAATCAACTTGGGTGCTGTAATTCCAGACTGTGAGAGAGAGTGCAATCAAACTGATCAGAGAGAGAAAAAAAATGTCTTGCCACATTATGAGGATCTGAAAATAGCTGAACTTATACTGCTTTCAAACAAAACAAAGCCTTATAATACAACTTTTATTATGTAAAAATAGAAAGTTGTTCACCTACGTTCATATGCTCATGGTCTTCAGCTGTCCTGACAAATTGCAGCCATGAAATTATCCTCTAGGGGGAAAAAGCATAAAAACCAAAACAGAATGCATAATATTATAAACATATGATTCACAGTTTAAAACAATTTATTTTCCATGGCACAAGTGTTTTCACTCAAGCTCAACAAACAGCTTAACAGAAACCAATCGCAATGTTCATGTGAGTAAAGAATTATAATGTGGCATGATGTCTACTGTCATCTGCTCAATCACAGTCTCTTTAACAGACAGTACTGCAATTCACAGTTAAACTTTCAGATGGTAATTTTGAATGCTCCACACAATTTACCACACAAACGTCCTTTCAAGCATCCAATGGTACCTGTAACAGAGAAATAAACTTTGCATGAATTACTATACAGTGTTATTATAAAGTATGAAAAGAGTAAAGTGTTACCTGAACATACCTTAATGAACATTCATTTTAATCTATTTCCATTGCTACTATTTTCACATTACAGTAACAATTCTTGCACCATTTTCCAGAATATATTGAAAACCATTTTGTCACAGAATGATAGCAGAAACTGTATAGAGAACTGTCATACATATTCATATAGTGTCTGACAAACAACCAGACTGTTTTTATGTACCAAATGGCAACACTGGAAAATTCTCAAGTGTTAGATCATGTGATTGAGCAGCTTCATATCAAACAGTTACTGAGAATAAAATTTATAAAACTTTTACAGTAGATAAATGCACTAAAATCTTCGTGGGGCATAGGGCACATCACGGTTGAGCTAAGAACTAACATCTTTGAGGCTCACTGTCTCCATCATCAAGGTCAATGTGGGAATTGACCACACATCTTTGATATACTTGAAGTATATATCAGTCATTGTGTTGTCTCTTCCTTATTGGTGCACTGGGCAAAAACTGAGTCAGGTCAGACTAGTCTTCACTCTCACCATAGACCTGCTTTGGTGCTGCTAAACTGGAGTTATCCTCCATCTGCCAACTAGCTCCATTTGTTGTTGCTTAACCTTATTATATTGGGGAATAGCTGGGCAGGTTTTATGTTTAATCCTGACGGCTTTAGATTTACTTTCTTTTTGGTTGCAGTGTCTTACTAATGCAAGGTTCTCTCTACTATGTAGGATGACTGAACTGTTAGAAAAGAGAAACAAAATTACATCTTTAATAATACTGGTGAAAATTTCCACTGATATCTGCAGTATGTTAAAATAAACTTATGGAGATGTAACAAAGCACAGAACACAAGTTACTTAATTTCAGTAAGGAAGGAAAGCTGTTATAAATGATTAAACTTCAAACTCTGATCCATATATGGAAAAATCTGACTGAAATGGTGGAAAATGATTGTTCCTTAATTGTTCAGAAGATAGCAGAGGAATTCTGTACTGCAAATAAGTGCTTCACTAAAGCAGTAAATTTAAATGGCTGTTTTATGCCTACCTCATATAATTTGTGTGTAGCACACATAACCAAGGCTCATGTGCACAATAATTTTTTTCAGAAGACTGGAGTGACAGGCACATCACTCAACAGCTTCAGTGCATACTGAAAACACAGTGGAAAGGTTAAAACTGTCCATTTATCTACTTATTTCATTACCCAAATTTAACCCTGATTTGAACTTGTACCAATGTAATACTTACTTTACATGCAAGACAGATTAAACTTTATTGCATTTCTCAGAAATGCCCCCTTATACCAAAAGAAAAAGTACGTAACATAAAATATTCAATATAGTGAACATTTTACAAAAGAGGTAAATCCCTATATAGTGTTAATAGTTCAGTAATAGTATTAACATTAAAGTTCTGGTGCCCATGATAAATGAACATCATGGCCAATGAGGTTTGCAAGCTACAAATAATGCTTTCACAGTGTCTGTGTATATTCAAACAGAGTATACATTTCCAATGGTGGTGTTGCTTATGTTCGTGTAAAAGAAAAGGTAAAGCTATCCCTGTAAGAGGCTGTGGAGACTCATAGGGTTGTAAGACATCGAGGCTCCCACATTTTCCAGAGAGTTGGCTCACAGATGGCAGTGAGGTCTTATGCGCCGGCCACCCTTTACCCCCATGAAGATTCCTGGTACTCATTTATGTTAGAAGCTGAGTCAACCCCAGGGTCACTGAGCAGCTGGATTAGGTCAATTTAAAAATGTAATGACCTCATCAGGATTTGTAAGATATAACATAACTGTTCAATCTGAAATAATTCCTCTTGTCTGAGCATTGCATGTGCCTGAAATTTGCCCAACAGTAGTACTGGAGAACTATACCTTATCTACAAGAATGGCTTTCTGCTTTGGTTTTCCTTTAAGGAGCGCATAGCAAACCAGTGTCACGGCCATCACAAACAGGAAGTAGCTGGTGTGCATAAGATGCAGGTTGATGAGGGAACGCTCACTCTGAAAGCCATATTACAAACAATATATCAGGGCTGACTCAATAACATTCTAATTTTCAACATAAACAAGAGTAAACCTTTCTAAGCCATAAACATAAGACATGAGTTAGAAATTTATTCCAGAAGCATGGACTACAGTAAGTACAATCAGAGTACAGTGAAATACAAACAGAACAAACATTCATACTGTCATTTTTGCAGCGTATTTTTCACCCCCTTCCTAATTCCTTAAATAAATCTCTGGTAATTCTTTTCAGTGTTAGAGAATTCAGTGCACTGCGGTATGATTCAAGCAGTGGGATGTCTATTAGTCACACAGCATCCATCCATTGTTCTTGCACATGTAATAATGGTGCTCTAAATCAAATTATTTTAATGTTATTGTATGGGGAACTTATTGCAGTTTACTGGTATTTCCAATTTTGGATGAAGCACCTGCTGATCTGACTTCATATAATATGATATGATGATGATTATTTGGAAGCATGTGGATGGAAACAGTTGTGATGTGATAAGAATATCTACTGATTAATGCAATTCTATACTGGGGAGGAAGGGAAAGAGGCAGACAAAGGATGGACAAAAGAGAAGGAAAAGAAGGGGACTATAATGAAATGAAACAGAATGCAATGAAGCATCAAGTTGCCCAAAGAACCAGAACTTACCCCAGTCAGCAGAACTGTCAGCTGAGAACTGGAACGATATGCAATCCTCATAACAGTGCCACCTTTGCACCAGTCATCATCATCATCTCTCTCACCCAGCACCTCTGCATCCCTACTTCTCCCTACGATCCTCCCTGGGAATCCCTGCTGAGGTGTCGGTAATGGTGTACAAGTAGGTGGGGTGGAAACCATGGGCAGGAGTGATCGAGGGCCAACAAAAGTGACACACACATCAACTTTGGATAGGTTTTGTGGCAGTGTCAGGCTCACGTTGAGTGTAGCCCCTTCTGCTACTAGCGGCTCTGTTTTGCACATAGGGCTCCATGCTGAAACATGAAAAATTCTGCCTTCTTATCTCAGCAACAGCTTCAGATACTAGACCAACACACTACTACAGCTGAGAGTACTAAACTCACATAGCAATTACTTCATCAGGAATGGCATCCTTGTAGTTGTCTAGGCTGTTACAGGTATTACAGGTATTCCTTTGAGTTAATATTTTTAAATTTTACAGATTTTTTAAGAAATCTTCCCTACTGTAAGTTCTTTGGACATCTATAGCAGTGAAATTTGTTTTCTGTTGCTGGTGGAGTCTTCAATTTTTTCATTATTACTTCATTTTCATAGCCAAAAAGTGTGTGTTTTATGAAATATACAGTGTTTAAAAAACTGTTACAGGCTTCAAGGGTGTAATAGTGCTCACTTAAATAAGCAAAAAAACTCTCTCAATGCATGTCCAGAAATCGACGACTCCTAAGATATAGGCTAGTCAATGTCTCGTGGACATCTTCAGTGATCAACTCCTAAGACCAGTTATCTTACCTAAGAGACTAACAGGTGTAGTGTACTCGTGGAACATGTGCCTCTTCATCAATGACAACACACGTGGTTCATGCATGATGGGGTACAAACTCAGTTTCCACACATTGCCAGGCAGCACCTGAACCAGACTTTTGGTGAACAGTGGATAAGACGTGGAGGCCCTGTCAATTGGCCTGCACGATCCCCTGATCTCAATCCTCTAGAATTTTTACCATGTGGACATCTAAACACTTTGGTGTATTCAGCTCTGATCAATGACTTAGAGGTATTACAGCAATGAGTAGAGAATGCCTATCAGCGATATTTGAGTGAAACCATGAATTTCTGATAAAGTGTACACCTCTGTGTGATGAAGAACTCAAAGTTGTGTTAAAATGCATGGGAACCACACAGAGCATCTGATACAGAGATCACACGAACATCACGAACCTCTCAGTAGGTACTGGTTTCTGGGCGTATGTTGACTGAAACATTTTTGCTCATTTAAGTCAGTACCATATCCCCTTAAAGCTTGTAACTCTCTTTTTTAACAGACTATATATATCAGTTGATATATGAGGGGCACTCAGAAAGTTCCCAGAATGGTGGTATAGCACTCTAATGGTAGGACATATTGCAACACTTACCTAATCACATTCAAAGTAGGACCCTTCCGCGTGCACACTTGCTCCATCGATCCTGCAGTGACGATCTTTTTGAGAAATGAAGGGTCCTGCATACTTTTGTCAAACAGATCACCAGCGAACATCATGCGACATTCCATCTGATCCATGGTCAGCTGCCTCGGAACAAACTTTGCACTGATGCGTCTCATCTTCAAATCATCGGACAAAATGGCATGAATGGATCCGTGAGAGATACAAACTTCTTGCTCCAACTCTGTGATGGTCACTCTTCGATCACATCGAATCAGTTGTTGCATTTTCCAATCATTTCTTCAGTTCTGTATGTCGAAGGTCTCCCGCTGCGTTGGTCATCCCCTAACATCTCCTGCCCATTATTAAACCGGTAAAACCAATCGTAAACTGCAGATTTCTTTAGTGCAATATCAGCGTAAACTTGCTGCAGGGCCGATTGCATCTCTGAAGCAGATTTTCCTAATTTGCACATGAACTTGATGTTCGCATGCTTTTTGAACTGCGACATTGCGCTGAATGACCAACACTCACATCTAATTCAAACGGAACAGTAACGACACTGCACACTGAAACCTATCCAGACCTGTTGTGCCTGCGAGCAGACATGCTGAGCTCCCCACCACAACAGTGTGTGCGCTATCTTATCGCTCGTTCTCCATCTGCAGGGGAATTCCGAGAACTTTTTGACTGCCCTACGTATAATACAATGGGGGTAGTGAAAGAAGGGAACAAATGGGCCAAATGGGAAAAATAAAAGTGACTAGCTCTATACATGTTTACCATAAAATCTAAGTGAATGGGCAATAATTAAACACTAATCCATGTAATGGGTAGGACAAGAACAGGAACTGGAATAACAGGCGTCAGATCACTAACCAAACTGAACATCTAAATGTGTAAAGCCAAAACAAAAAAAGAACTGTAGTAAACAACGCAGCAAAAAAGTCTCCTATTCAGACTGACTGATTAACTAACTACCTGGTATGGAGAATTCTTTAAGAAGTTAACAATAAAAAATGACAAACTTTCTTTTATGGACACCAGAGGTTCCTCACTGTGAAAAAAAAAGCTCATGATTGTGATCTACCCTGACTTAGTTCAACCCAGTTTAATCTTCACATTTATTTCTACAAGACCTAATTTAATATTATCCCATCAGCAAAGCTTAGATATCAAACTGATTTTCAGAAGAGAATGAAATTATAACGTCTTGTTCATTACATGATGCTAAGCTTATTTCTGATTTAATACAAAGAGTATTTGTATCCCACTATAATTAGAAATATATGAGTCAATCACACAACAGAAAATTCTTTTCTGGGGTTGTGTTTTGTTGAAATAACTGCATTAGTCTTCTATAAATTCATTCTACCAGAAAAGTGTCAACACATTTATAATCTGTTGTTTTGAAATGTTTTAAACACTTCATATACAAATTAAGGTTATGAATTATGAAAGATAATAAAATATGTCATAAAAGTTTTGTTTGAAATATATTTCTCTGTATTTATAAATATGGGTAGAATACCTGTGGTTATGTTTGCAAACATTCAGGTCCTATAAATCTACACTTCAGAGAGACAGAGAAGTTAGATACTTTTTACATTATATCTTTTATATTCAAAGAGGAAAGCAGAAATAACATTCTCATACTTCTTATTTTTCAATTTCAGTGTCAATCTGAGACCATATTTTGGCTATGCATACTGCCCACAGTGATTGCCTTACTATATCCAATACTTATTCTTTGTATGATATGTTACATGTTTATCATCTATATTTATAGCAACCAAGAAGAACTGCCGGGGAGCACATGGCAGCGTAGTTGGTTGAGGTACTACGCTACAAGCTGGAAGGTTGCGGGTTCAATTCCCATTGAGGTCACTGGATTTTCAATTGACCTAAGCCTTCCAGCCACACTATGGCCCTGGGGTTGACTCAGCCTCTAACAGAAATGAGTACCAGGAATCTTCCTAGGGGTAGGAGGCGGCGGGTGCATAATGCTGACAACCTTACCGCCATCTGTGAGCCGATTGTCTAGAAAATGTGGGAGCCTCGACGGCCAGTTACTGGGTCAGCTTTATCTTTTTTCTTTTTAAGAAGAACTGCTCATTGTGGAACTATACTTTGTTTCAAAAATGAAAATTTCCATCTTTTGGGATATAGTGCCATGTAATCGGTATATGAACTGACATTCCTTTGAAATGTCGGTTCATATACATGGCGCTATATCCCAGAAGATGGCAATTTTCATTTTCATAACTACCACTGTGAGAACCTCAAAACCTATATACTTTGTTTCCTTTTCCTCTCTGTAAGTAGCTGCAATACACAAGAGAAATGACATGCAATCAGTTTCCATGGTGATAGACACCAGTTGTTTGTTGGATTATGACACTGAAAGGGTTATATCGCATGTTTAAACAATTGTACAAGTATGCTATGCTGGGAAAACAACCAGTTGTGAAACTGGAATATAAATTCGTCCTCTCAAGATCAGAAAAATAAAAGAATTATCATCATTGTTGGCAGAGGAATTACATAATACTGTATTCTGCACTATGTGAGAAGTACTTGAAATGAAACTTATACCTCCAAGTGGCAGAAATCCTGTTACTGTAGTTATGTTGTGTGGCTGAGAACTGAGTTGTTGCACCAAACTCAGTGAAGCTGTCACAGAAATGGAAACATTGCCAAAACTGTCACTCTGCTCCTCATCTACTGATCGGCTGCTGTTGCTAGCTGTCTCTGGCAGAACACATAAGTCGAAAGTGTTCAGGTGTTTCAGGAATCTGTTCCAATCCTGAAAAACATCAGAACACTGAGCTGTAGTTTTCCACAAAAGGTACTGTACCCTTACAGGTATACATTGCTTTTCTTATATTTTGTAAATATAATACACATTGTAAAACGTTATAGATCTTTAGCAGATCTATATTTTGTGTTACGAACTCATTAGTCATATAACTTATACGCAGGAAGTGCTATATGTTCAATTTCATATCCATGTATAGCAGAAGAAATAATTCAGACTGAAGTAGAATTTGCCTTGCAACTTCAATTAAGAGTAGCCATGCTACTACAAAATTTCATGGATATCAAGAATTATTCTCACTTTTATGCAAAGCCTAGCTATCAGAATATTACATAATTCTATAAGCTAAAGTGCTGATTACTCATTAGATATACTAATGACTAGTGGCATGAACAGGTTGATATCCAGCGAAATCACCTGTATAATCTATAATTAGTATCTATACATTAACTTAAGAGTAGTTCACTTGGCCACAGTTTTTTGAGTCTTTTGTTGCTTACTGGTTCCAGGAGTTGTTCCATGAGCTGATTGGGGTGGTTTTCTATGGAATTATGATGTGTGGTGGCTTTCTTGTGTATCGCTTCCTGTACGGTTGGTACCTGAAGATCTGTATGTAGTGTATGATTTGTTACGTACCAGGGAGCATAAACAATTTGACGGAGTATCTTGGATTGGGATCTTTGTATGATTGCAACATTTGATTTAGTTGAGCAGCCCCATAATTCTAGTCCATATGTCCAGATTGGTTCGATAATTGTTTTATATATTAGAAGTTCGTTGTCTGCAGATAGTCGTGAATTTCTTCCCAGTAACCACTGTTAACTCCAATGTCTTGATGTTTATTTGTTTTTTCTTTTTTGCGAGATGTTGTTTCCATGTCAGTTTAGCATCCAAGTGTAGGCCTAGATATTTTACTGTTTGCTTTTGTGGTATCTGTATGTTGTTTATTGTGACTGCTGGGCATATTTCTTTTCGGAGGGTAAATGATATATGTGCAGATTTATTCTCGTTCAATTTCACTTTCCATTTTGTTAATCACTGTTGGAGAGTATTTAAGTAGTTTTGTGTAGTAGTTGAGGCTACTTGAGGATCTGCGCGGCTAGTAAGAATGGCCGTATCGTCTGGGAATGTCCCTATTAGGACATTTTGTGCCGTCGGTAGATCTGACGTGTACAGGACATACAGCAGTGGTCCAAGGACGCTGCCTTGTGGTACTCCTGCACCAATAGGAAAGTAGTCAGATTTCTCTTCATTTACTTTGGTTTGAAAGGTTCTCTTACTCAAGTATGATTTTAGAAGATTGAAGTAAGCCGGTGGAAATACATGTTTGATTTTGTAGATAAGTCCAGGGTGCCAGACCTTGTCGAAAGCCTGACTGATGTCGAGGAATACTCCACTGCAGTATTGCTTGTGTTCAAACGTTTTGTTTATGGCTTGTATAATTCTGTGAACTTGTTGCACGGTGGAGGGTTTCTGGCGAAACCCAAACTGGTGGTCGGGTATCCAGTTTTTTGGAGGCAAATCTGCGTTTATTCTGCGAAGTAACAGTCTTTCAAGTAGTTTTGACGTTACTGGCAGTAAACTGATGGGTCTGTACGAGGAGACATCACTCGGGTCTTTTCCAGGTTTACCGATCATGATGATTTGTGCCTTTTTGAGACATTTTGGCCAGTATCCTAGTCGTAGAATAGCGTTGTATATGTAGGTTAGCATCACTGTCCCTTTTCTAGGCAATTCTTTCATCATTTTGGCCGTTACCAGATCAAATCCAGGCGACTTTTTTGGATTTAGGAGCTTAATTTCATCAGCTATTTCTTTTTGTGTGAATGCTATGATGGTTGTATGTGTTATAGGTGGGTTTAATAGACTTTTTTTCTATTTCTTGGTCGATTACTGTATCTGTTGGTTGGAATACGGAAGCCAAGTGTTCTGCAAAAAGTTTAGCTTTCTCAGCGTCACTTTTTGCCCGTGGGTCATTGGTATTTTTTCTTATTGGTGGCGTTGGAGTTTTAGGTTTTTTTGAGTTCTTGATTGGTTTCCATATCGAACTGTCTGTTCTACTTAGTTTCGTTATGTATTGCTCAAATTCTTCGCTCCTGACATTTGCTGAAATAAACACAGTCCTTCACCAAAGTAACAACAATAACATCATTCTCATTTACATTTTACAGTGCACATACCACATGAACATCTGTGTTTGGAATTCTTTCCGAATGTCTGATGAAGAAAGCAAAAGACAGAGTAGTCAGTGCAAACGCTGTAAGGCAAAGTGTGAAGACCACCAACGGTGGGCGGCTAGTGGCGAACCCCTTCAAGTTTCCAAGCGGCGATAGGAACCCCATTGCGAATATATGCGCGTCTCAGTTTTCCTGGAATGTTGGAAAACACTATGAGCTTGGGCGGGGGGGGGGGGCATAACCGGAAAGCTTTAACATCAAAATAAAACACAATCAATATTACAACGATTTTTGGATGCAACGTTTACTTACGAGTTTAGAACAGCGCATAATGCAACAACCCAGCACACCAAAGTAAAAAAAAAAATCCTATTTCACTTACACATTACCTATATACACCACCACACAAACTGTAACCAATTGTATTGAAGCTCAAACGTTTTTCGAGAGATCGGAGAAATAGACCCTATATTGAACGATAGATCGAAGTTGGTAGTAAGTCACAGAGCATAAATCAGACTGTGATCGTATCAATTGGTTTCCAATTTCGTAGTCTTGAGTCGTCTGAGTAGCTGGCGGAATGTACGTAGCGGTACGTAGAGTGACGAATGTCGAGCGATGTATAGGAAAAACGTCTCCATTTTCAGAGTTGAATAATGTCAAGCCAGAATCCAAAATGAAGCATGAGCAAGGTTTGCTGCGCGCTTAATGCTGGTTTCTTGTTTGGCTTATTCTTCTACCGTAACAAGCAATGTTCCTCCGAAACGTCGGTTGACGTTCTGTCCAGGAAAGACAGCGTAAAGTTAATGCTATTTTTCTTCACCGTATCCGATCAATGACTGACGACTCAATCAGCCGCGGTCATGTGTGGTCATGGGGGTCATGTGTGTATGTATTATGGCGGTGGCGGGACTTGAAAGAAAAAGAATAAGCATTAGGCCATGAAGACAAATGGGGAACGAAGGAATCGGAAGCGATCGGAAGGTATAGTCCCACAACTCTTGACGCTCTTGACCTCGGCACTAGATCGAGATGGGTAGTCCGCTTTACCTCGCCGGAAGGATCCTTGGTACTCATTGATAAGAAGCTGGGTGGTCTCTGGAGCCGGTCTGGATCGTCTGGATGGTCTGAATCGGTCTGAATGCTGTAGAGAAGAGAAAAATCTTACACCTGCCGGGAATCGGACCACGGCCGTCCAGCCCGTAACCCGTCGGTATACCTGCTGAGCTATCTCGGCTCCCCTGGTGAGGTAGTACATTTTCAAATAAAATTAAAATATGTGTGTGTGTCGACGGGTGCCGGTAGGAGGGTGCAAGCGTGGCATCAGTTTTCCTCAGCGCTTTTGAAGAAGTCAGAATTGGAAAAAAAGAAAGATATACAAGAAATTATGATTATTTTGTCTTTATTATATATTTTTCTGCAATGAATGCTCTAGGGGGACAAGTACAAATATGGTTAAACCTTTTAAGCGTAGGTTTGCAAGCAAATTCTCTAGCCTGCATTTCTAGCTTTAGAGCTGTCTTGCATGGAGACAAACGTTCTGATAGGACAGGGCCTAAGAGCCATTCTATATGGACAGCAACAAAACCTAGCCCCAACAAACACATTAAAATAGCATTAGAATGCTGCTTATTTTATGTAATGTATATTCTGTATTAGGAGCTGGGATGGTGTAGTCGGTATTGCAACTGGCTATGGGCTGGACGTCCAAGAGGTCAGAATTTGAGTCCTGGTGGGGGCAAGATTTTTCTCCTCTCCACACTCTTTATATAGGTTCTGGAGCCCACCCAGCCTCCTGTCCAATGGATACAGGGGGCTCTTTCCCGAGGGGTTAAGTGGCCGGAAAGTGAAGCTAACCATTCATATGCAACCAGTGCTGAGGTCAAGAATACATTTATCTATACATCTTCATGGCATAGTGCTTAATTAGTTAAGTGCAGAAACAACTTTAATGTTGCCATATATTGAAAAGTTTGTGTTTTATGGAGCTCTATAATTTTTGTTCAAGCCATTTTTCTCTCGGCTAAATACTCCTCTAGACACAGTATAATATGTGTTCAGGTTCTTAAGCATGTGGGCCTTAACACAAACTGAAGAGAATTAAACTCAAGATTGCAATGCATGTATAATGTGTCAGCTTTCATCAAAATCTGCCAAAGGATTTAAAAACATATGTAACATCGTTAACACTTAAATATTAATTTATTCTCCATAGTAGTATGCTCCATAAAATGAAAATGTCTTGGTAAGATTTAATATTGGTGTATGGTAATGAATTTATTAAGTTCAGTCAAATTTTCCTGGTGCTGATACTTGGGAATGGAGCATTATGGCCCTGAGATTGACTCAGCCTGTAACAGAAATGAGTACTAGGAATCTTCCTGGAGGTAAATAGCAGCCGACGCATAAGGCTGACAACCTCATTGCCATCTGAGTGCTGATTGTCTAGAAAATGTGGGAGCCTTGATGTCTCACAACCGTATGGGCCTCCATGGCCTGTTACAGGATAGCTTTACCTTTTTACATGATGAAAGTAATGAGCGGTTTTGAAATGCTCCGCACAAAGGGCATGGACCAGGTTTGATGTTAATAACGCTGTTTTATGTCTGTAATTAGTGTTAATTATTTATTTTCATCAACATATGGAAAGGAAATTTTGACACAAGTGCCAAAAATAAGTGCTGAAACAAAGTATATTGTGATATACTAATTGCAGTGTAATCTTGTTCATTATTTAAGTCATGTTTATGGGCTAATTTGCAGGGCACGCAGTAGTGTATTTGGTTGAGGCATTAATGCTACAAACCGGAAGGTAATGGGTTCAAGTCCCAATGAGGTGGATTTTCTTCAGTTACCCTAATCCTTCCAGCCACATTATGGCCCTCGGTTTGACCCAGCCTCTAACAGAAATGAGTACCAGGAATCATCCTGGAGGGTAAAGGGCGGCTGGCATGTAAGGCTGACAACCTTGCAGCCATCTGTGAGCTGACTGTCTAGATAATGTGGGACCCTCAATGCCTCACAACCCTATGGACCTCCATGGCCTGTTACAGGGATAGCTTTACCTTATGATCTAATTTGGAGCACAGACTATGTAATGTAAATCACTTTTGCCTGGCCAAATATTTATGGCGAACAGTATGTCAGTTTGAAACGAACAGTTACAGTAATTCACCATTCTTTGGCCAAACACGATAAACTTAATGAAGTGATAATTTGAAATAAATCTATGGTAATAAAATCCCCCATCTGTCGCATTCTCAGAGCGTTTTGTGTTCAACTGTTTAAGAAGTTCCCAGTTACAGGACCCAATGGCTTGTCATCATGACATTCACAAACACAGTGTGAGACATAAATTTAGCAACCTTAAATTAGCATTTGTCTAGGAAATGTCACGTGTCAGTGTTTTCAACTTACTGATCTCCCAATTTACCCCATAAGTTCACTCCTTTAATATTTTGTGTAATCTTTTGGAAAACATATAATTTGATCCCAGTTTCACATTATAATTCTAATGTCATCTAGATCTGTGTTTTGACAACATCTTTCTCTTTGAAATCCTCTTGACCTTAAAACTACACTTCTGTCTGAAATCCTCTTGACCTTAAAACTACACACATACCCCGAGAACAAAAGCCAAACTTGTAAAATTACACAGAATTCAGTTGGCACTGGGCACTGTATGAAGGGGAATGGCGAACATTACAAGATGTACTGATCTGATGTCATGGGTACAGCAGGAACTGTCATGCTTTTAACCATATGTACTACGTGATTGAATGCTTAGGTGATAGTATATATGCCACAAAGTGTCCTTGTCATTCAGTAGTGCACCAATCCATCTATTTTCTTTTGTTTGTGTGTTTGTGTGTGTGTGTGTGTGTGTGTGTGGACAGCTGGATACCTATATTTGTATTATTACTTGTTTTTCTACCCAAATATCAAATATGATTACTCACTCAAAAATATAGACACACATATCTGTATGTGTGTGTGTGTGTGTATATTGCAGGTTGCTCAGTCAATATAGGTACTCTGTTAAAGTAATGCCATAGCTGATGCAGTTAATTGCCGTCTTTCTACTGTGACAGCCTGGTTCAATCCCAGGTCAGGTCGTGTGAGGTTTGTGGTGGACAAAGTGTCTTTGGGGCAGGTTTTCTCTGAGTTTTTCAAGAGCTTTACTGCTGTGAGGGACCAAGAAAAGCTTCAAAAATACTCAGACTGGCTGGCACCACTGATATTTATATATCTTTGTAGAAGTGAGTAGAAAATTTTGTTCCAAAAACCTGAACTACCTGGAAGACAAGTGCATAGGTATGAGAATAATATTAAAATAGATTTTAAAGAAATAAAGGGGTGTGGATATATGGGTTGGATGTATGTTATAGGCTCTTGTGAACATTATAATGAACGTTCATATTCCATAAAAGGTGGTGAGTTTCTTGAGCAGCTGAGAGGCTGTTAGCTTCTAAAGGAGGACTCAGCTTTATGTAGTGCTTCCATAGTGGACACTACTGCATGCTATTTGAAATTATCTTTTAATTCTTACGTGTATTAACTTAGATGCATTAATTCTGTATTTCAGCATCCCGTTGCAATTGTTCAAATTAGCATCCATTGTTTATCTTCCAACAAAATTGTGACACTTTTACATTCTACGTTTCAGCACTACATGTTTCGACCTCAAACATAAAAACACCTTAAGATGGCCGTTTGAGGCCAAAACATGTAGGGTTGAAGAGTAGAATGTAAAAGTGTTGCAATTTTGACGGAAGATAAAGAATGGACGCTAATTAGATGCGTTAACCTCTAGCAACTTTTTACAAGAGAGTTTTAACAGGTTACAGTGAAGCAAAAACAACAATAAATTAGCAATTGAGCACGAATAATGAAAATGCTCAGTCATATCCAGGGCCCGGATTTTGATGACCTGAAAATATTTAAAAAATTACCGAAAAAATCCAGAAAAATGACCTAAGGGAGAAAAGTAAGAACACTTCACTTCACTGTTATTCACATTTCAGAAAACATATGAAGAAAAATTCCCTAAAATGGCGAAAAATGATAAGAAATAACCTTAAGGAAGAAGAATCTTGGGAATCCAGAAATATAAGAGTTTGTT